TACCTTTTCCCCCCCCCCCCCCCTCCCCTTCACTTTGAAATTGTACAGAGTAGCTTGCAGTCTGTCCAAAACCCTGCTCCAAATAAACAACTGGAAAGGTGTTGGAAGTTAAAATAATTGACATCTATGATACATCTTTGATGGAAAGGTTCCTTAATATCGTGAGCTGCCCGTGCTGTTTGATATGCGAATGAAGCCATCAAAGGGTTCTTGGGGCTGGACACTGATCAAAGGAGATCTGCTGGACTGTCATGTCCTGGGGCAAGCCCGACCCCCTGCTGGTATTTACTGCCCACACCTGTGTCAACAAGGCATGTATGCTGGGATGGGGGCAGGGGCATCTGATGGAACCTTCTTCCTGTGTGACACTAATCTAGCTGACCAGCAAGACCTTTGGACAAGACAAGTCTTTCTGAACTCTGCAATCAAGAATGTGATTCGCTGCGACCTGCTGGAGAGGCGTGTCCGAAGAACAGAGAAAAACCCATGGCTTGTGTGAATGAGAGAGAGAGAGAATGGTGTAGCTAGCTGTAGGATCCTTAACATTAACTCCTATCCCCAATTCCCCTTTCAAATTCCCTTAATTGTAATATGTATGTATATCCCTATTTGTAAATAAACCCAACACTTATTTAAGATTCAGTTGTTCATCAGTAATTTAAGGGCACCCCCAAATCAGAGCACATTCTACAAAAGGTAAGACATATTTTATAACACCTTTTATCTGCTTCACAGCTGCTATTTTAAATTCACTAACCAAGGTCTGCCATATCTCAGGCTCTTGTATGTCCCTCAGCAAGATGTCCTTCCAGTGAGACCCTGCAGCCCTGACTATCACTGGAGCAATCTGAGTATTCTGTCTCTTTTCTCTAAGGCCTGGTCCACACCTGAGTGTTTTTTTGCGCAAAAAGATGCAGAAGCTATTTTCAGGTGAATGCTGTGCAGTTTTGGTACCATAAATATCTATATGTGTTTTTAAAAACAAAAATGTGCACAAAAAAACGCAACAACATGCAAAACTGAAAAGTCTATGTGTGAACCAGGCCTTAGCTCTGATTTATCATATGAGCTCAAACACCCGAGTGCAGAGGTGTCTACCTATAATCTGGTTATAGGGCATGTTGAATCCTGTGATCAATGCTGAGCATTCAGACACCCACACCCACAGCTCTCTACCAGAACCTACACTGTGGGTGTGTGGAGCTTAGTAGGGAACTCTATGAGCCTAGTTCTCCATCAGGTCTGCTCTGCTACTAATTGAAAGCAGGCAGTGGACTACAGCCAACAGCTAACCAGTGGTGATGGCAGTGGGTGGAGCCTGATGGGGATGCCAAGGGACTAATTTCTCTTCATGGTGAAGAATTCTTAAAGTGGCGCAATTAAGAGCTATGTCAATCTCTTGCAAGTGTCAGTAAAGCTACCAAAACGTATGGCAGGGCTTTTGTTACATTTGGTGCAGGACCTTTTAAAGGTCCATATCCCCTTTATTGAATTATCTTGAATGTATTTAGGCAATGGACACACCCCTACCTCTCCCCCCATTTGTTGAACCCAGAACTGTTTGTTTTTTTCTCCTTAACATTTCCTTTTATACTGACCTTTTAAAATAACAAACATGATAATTAGGAGGTAGGATGTAGATTTTAGTGCAGAATAACACTTTTGGTAGTTAAATAGTACATTTTCATAGATATCTGTACATTAGACCAACAAAGAGGGACAACTGAGGAGGAAAGCAGGATAAAGGGATTTGGTTCTAAAAGAGGGTCAGTGCCTCCATTTGAGGGACAGTTAGGAGGTAGAAAAACAGTGCTGTTGCTTTAAAGGAGAACTATGAGGTGAGTGATTTTCACTCATCCTCATAGTTAGTGCTGACGTGTGACAATGAAACTGTTATACGTTGGTTCTAATGATCGGGAAGTGAGTGAACACATACCGTCGCTCGCTCACTTTACGATCATCTCCCTGCAGAGAGTGGTGATGGTCAGTCACCGCTCCCTGCAGGGTTTCCCCCTCTCCCCTCTCCAATCTTCCAGCGCTGACTGGAGGAACAGATGGGGGAGGGAGTGGGCACAGCTGGCTCCGCCTCTAGATAGGCAGAGCCCGCTGTCAATCAGCTAGCTGGGCGGATCTCGAGAGTACTGTTGGGATCCGTTCGGGCTGCGGCGCTCTCAGTATATAGCTCGCTATATACTGAGCTTTGGCTCACGGGAAGAGGTTAGTATATTTCCTCCTGTGAGGAAAGGACATATACTTTTACCTCCTGTGAGATAAAAAGTTTACCCCATAGTCCTCTTTTAACTCCCAAGCGCCTGCCCACAAACTGTATGTAGGAAAAGGCACTTGGGAGATGTAGTTTTGTGGGTGTGATTACTTCAAAAGGAACTGAGATCCTAGGAGCCCTTGTCTCTGCAAGACTTTTACAAGCCTGGCGACGATGTCACAGGGATTAATAAAAAAAAATATAAAAAAAGCTATCTTATGTGATAGGAAAAAGGTAAAGAAATAGAAAATATTTTTTTGTTTTTAAACAATTTGTGATGGTGATTTGTGATAGAGAATTTTTCACCTGTTTTATTTATGGTTTTTTTGTTGTCATTTTATAGTTTCAGGCAGTCTGGCATAATAGTTTTCTTACTAAGTTTTTGCCGTGGGTGGGAGATGCATTAAAGGTGCCACTGAAGTGAATGGCACTGTAACGCACCTCCCGCAGCAGAATTTGTCAGGCAGAAACCGAAAATGACTCTTTCCCCACCTTTTTATAATTATTTAAAAAAAATTATTATGTAAACACATGGCACTTATATAGCTTCAGCCAGGGAATGACAGCTGCCAGTGGGAAGATATTGCAGACGGCAGCTGAATGGAAATACAGCAGGAAGTGGGCTGGTGCAATAGCCAGCCTTCTATTGGCCATTTCAAATTGCAATAGCCAATAGCAGGCTGGCTATTGCACCCGCCCACTGCTTGCTGTGCCCTCCTCCCAGCATGGAGAACAGATCTAGGGGATCCAACCAACTAATCGATACTAAGAATAGTTGACAACTATTCTCATAATCGATTAGTTGGTTGCAGCCCTATAATTTTTGCCATGATATTAGCTCTTGTTTTGTCTCTCTTACTATGTCTTAAGCTGGGTACACAGGAGTTAATTATTAAAGTTGAATGATGCTTGCAGCTAATCAGCTGCAAGCACCGTTCAGATATTCTTACTGTGCTGCTGTCAGAATACAAAGCTCACAGCGGGAGATTTGTCCATCCACACTATCTGTTATATTTTTATCCTTCAGCCCGGAGTTGAACGAAAAAAAATATAACAGTGTATACCCTTACTTTAGGATCACCCTACATGTTACAATCTGACCATACAATTCTTGTACAATCAACTTTAGATTGCCCTGAAAGACACTTCCACCATATTTGAGCAGACATGGAATAAGTGGAACATCTCCAAAACCTCTGCTGCTTATACAGTACAGAGGTCTTATAGAAATCCTAACGTCATACCTACAAGCACTGAATACCTACTCTCTTGCATACATTTATATCACTAAAGCAAAATGGATAGCATAAATAATTCTACACTGCACTTCACAGTATACTTGTATAATGATGAGTAGCTTCACCGATGCCCATCACTCACTCCTCTCCTCCCCTTTTCTACCTTCTCCTCCCCCCCACCCCTTCCTGTAATCTGGTGTTATAAAATGGCAATGAGTCAATGGAACAGTGTGACATTCCTGATTTGTAGCTATGCACTATTGTGAAATTGTATACCATTGTACTGTTCCTTTGATTAAAAAAAGGGATTTAATTAAAATCAAAATCCATACAGGGGTTCTAACCGCTCACAACCTTATCCAAAACTAAAAAAATGTTTTATATTTAGATACACTGCAGCACTGAATCAGAGTGCACTGGAGCTGGCCACACATCGAATTTCGCACACACAACCAGCACTGAATTTCGAGCAGTGTGTGGTCCCATTTGCACCCCTCCAATAAACAAAAAGTGACTTTTTAATTGCCTTTTGGCCAAAGTGCCAGTCCAAAAATTCTTGGCTGAACAGTGACTGCAGACAACCAGCGAGCTTGGAGCGGTGGCTACTTTACAACACACACAGGGACCATGGAGAGCTAAAGTAGCCACCCTCCAGAAGGAAGGACAGTGTCAGCACCAATTCAGAGATGATTTAAGGATCTACAGCTGAGTGATACACAAATAAGATACATTTGTTTTCTAATAGTTAAGGTACTTGAATACATTTTTAATATTTAACTCCTGAGTTTAGTGTCACTTTAAACTGAAGTGAGACTAGTACAGATTGGATCCTGGCTGGTTGCTTTGGGCAACTGTGTTTAACAAGGTTATTAAATAAATCCAATTCTAAACTTTTATCATCAGTATTACACAATGATATAGCAGCAGTGTGTTTCCTTTCAGAGCAGCAGTCCAATTATTAAAAGCAACTAGAGGGGAAAGTATTGCAAATCAAACACAAGTTAAACATTTTCCTTACTTTTTCTAGTTTCTGATACTAAACAAACACGTACAAATCACATGAACATCTCCTTTTCATTGGAGCCTGAGTTAATTTAAAACAAATGTTATTTGTCAACTTCTGACAGTCAGCCTTCATATGCAACAGGTGAAGAAAGCAGGGATTATTTTTCTAAACAGACCCATAAAATGAGTATAACAGAATCAGTCACCTGGCAGAGACAGGAGGAGGTATTCAGAGAGGCAGTCTGACCCGGTAATCTCCGCTGTACAGAATGAGAAATCCCTGGGGTCAGGCAGTCTCCTCCCCGTTGCAGCAAACTCTGCACTGACACAGCTAATTGCTGCTGTCACTTTCCAGATCTACACCTGTCTCAGGCATGTCACCCAACACGGGGCTCCCTTTAATAACATAGGTGGAGTTCTGCTGTCCTTAAAGCAAGGTTTCACTTTGTAAATCTGCGGTTTAAAGGTGCCCATACACTTTACATTAATTGTTTGATTTTTTTCATCCGGTCATCGAACCCCTGTTCGATTTTCGCTTGAATACCACATTATGCACAGACCAATATAGTTTTTGATTATCGTTCGTTAGCAATACTAATAGCCCGAATTTCATCGGTCGACAGAACAGATTTTCATTTGCGCATGTGCAGTATCCATGTTGTGTTTTTTTCTGTATGAAAATGCCACTAATCCATCGATTTTCGTACAATTCGAAAAAAGTTTTCCAGTCTGACCGATTGAAGAAATTCGCACAGCTGTAGAGTAATTGTGATCGTTCACTTCCCATCAACTGGCCAATTTTTGTACGAAAACCCGATAATGTTCGTTTTTCGAACGATAAACGGAAATGTGTACGGAAACCTTCACTCTTCACAGAGCTATTTGTCAATGGAAGTGGTTTTAAAATATTTAGAGGCAAAAGAGTCAAAATTTATAAACTTGGCTCTTTCTTCGTTAAGTTAGGTTTTTGTGTTAGGCCCCGTTCGCACCAGTGCGTTTCGTCGCATGTTTTTTTCTGCGATGAAACACATGCAAATCGAAATCCCATTTATTTGTATGGGAATTCCATTCACGCAAGTTCGCTGAATCGCACGTAAACAATACGGCCGCTATTTCAAATAGTCCATTAGCGTCCTTTGTGGTGCTTATCAGCTCATTTTTTTCCATGATGAAACACATGCAAATCGAAATCCCATGTTTTCGTATGGGAATTCCGTTCACGCAAGCTCGCTGAATCGCGCGTAACAATACGGTTGTTGTTTAAAATAGTCCATTAGCGTCCTTTGTGGTGCTTAACAGCTCGTTTTGTTCTATAGACCTCAATGGAAACGTGGCGATCAGTGCGTTTTTGCACTTTTTTAAGCGCGTTTTTGCAGCTGAGACTGCTTTTTATTGGACAACTGATAACAAGCTGAAAACGAGCCTCAAAACGATCTTACATATGAACATGAAATGCGCATAACAAATGCTCCTGGTTTGGTGGCCAGTCCATATGTATAAATTATGTCTCACGCTCCCTGAACCACTCTTTCACAATTTGAGCCCGATGAATCCTAGCATTGTCATCTCAAAATATGTCCGTGCCATCAGGGAAGAAAAAAATCCATTGATGAAAAAACCTGGTCATTCAGTATATTCAGGTAGGCAGCTAACCTCATTTTTTGTCAGATGAAACATGTGAATCATCAGTAATTATCCAATGGCAGGCTCTTACCTTTTTTCTTAGCTTACTCCAGGTGGTGACTTTTTTTGGGGGGCCAGGCAGTGAATAAAGGAAGACAGTACAGTTGCAATACAATTCCAGACGAGAGGGTTCGGAGGGCCCTGCCTGTGAGAGCTTACAATCTTAGGTCTTGGTGCGTTTAAATCTTAGTGCCGTTTGAAGCTTCACCAGAAGCACTTCAACACTTGACAAAAGAAGCTGCTGGGCTATTTCAAGCGACGAACTTCAAGTGCCACTATGCTCCGGAGTGAATGAGCACCATTGCATATAATGGATTTTCATTATATTCAAAAGTGCCCATTTACATCAGAGTATAGTGTCGCTTGAAGCTTTTAGCACGTGGGAGAAATTGATCAGGGGGGGTGTATAAACAATCTCAGGTCTCATTTACACAGCCTGAAATATGTCCAACAGTGGATTTTTGCAGCTGGAATCACCAGTGGTTGTGGACAGCTGTTGCTGCCCCGAAGACTCCGAAGGGGGAGTAAGTGAAGGAAAGTACAAAAACCTGAGGGTTCCTGGTATACAGTGCATTACCTGATAAATAAATACAGCCCTAGCCTAAACCCTGAAGGACATTATAGTCAGTGACGGGACAAGGTCCTTTAGCACCCAAGGCAAAAAGGCTAAAGCGTGTCCCTACATATAAGTGCACCCCCTACCCATAAGTGTGCCTTCTGCCCATGAGTGTACCCTATACCCACAAGTGTGCCACCCTACTCATAAGTGCACCCTCTATTGATGAGTGCACCCACCACACATCAGTGCACCCCATACCAATGAGTGTGTCCCCTACCTATGAGTGTGCCCCATACCTATAATTGTGCCTCTAACCCATCCGTGCACCCTTAACCCATGATTGTGCCCCCTACCCAAGAGTGTGCCCTCTACCCATGAATGCACCCCCTACCCATCGGTGCACCCCATACCCATGAGTGCGCCCCCTGCACTCATGGGTCCTGCCCTTCTTGTCCCCCCTCCTCCAGCTGTAGCACCATGGGCAACTGCCTCTTCTGCCCATCCCTAAGCCCGAACTCTGATTATAGGGAACCTTTTTCCTATATTAAAAAAAAGTGTAGATACTCCTATCACAAAAAAGTTGTGTCAAAAAAGTGCAAAAGCAAACATTTCATTTTTATAATATGTAAGTAAGTGCTAACAAACCTTTATAAGCAGCAGTCTATTTTTCCTTCATAGAGTGACACTACTGTAGGAGAACACCTTTAACCAAAGTGACTGATTCCCTTCCAAACTAAGTGCTAGTGTGTTTCTACTACACATGTCAAAACCTCAGACAATGAATCCATTCACCAGATTACAATGATCCTGTATGGCTTCTTCCTTTAAGAAGGTCTTATAGGCTTTGTGTTATAAGTTACTTTTTACTCCTCCAGAGACTTTAACTTCTTCCCTTGGTCCATGTTCTTCGTAAATGCAGGATCTCAAGCAAATATACAAATGGAGTCTTAAATAACATAAAATCTTTTTATTGAAATGCTGGGAAAAAAACCACAATATCCCCTTCCACCAAAGTGGCTGATCCCCTTCTAATTAAGTGCCAGTGGGATTCCATCCCCACTTGTGAACCCTTCAGAAAACATTCACACTTACAATGACCCCTTATAGTAAAGAATTTCTTATAAAGCTGCCCACACACCTTACAATTATCTGCAGATTTTCTGTGGTCAGATGGAAAAGGTGCAACCGATTCCTCTATCTATGCTTAACTGTGTGGATGGATTAATCTCCACCTGGGCCAATCTGTTGCACTTTTTCCATCTGACCACAGAAAATCTGCAGATAAATTGTAAGGTGTGTGGGCACCTTAAGACTTCAACTTCTCTTCTTGCCCTATTTCCTCCCGAAGGATAGGAACCAGAGTGCTCTCACAGTACTATGGATCGAGCATTTTGTAAACAGCACAGAAAAGTGTCTGCCCTTGCTTACCACGCATGATGACTTTACACCACCAAACCCAGCTCATTGCATTTTGTCATATGCCAGACTTCATCAGGAGCAGTCTAGGTAGTGTCACTCAGGGTCCATTTACACCACAACGCATAAGTTAACGACATGCGTTTGCCACATGCGCTGGTGCACGTTTTTACATGTGCCGGGCTGCGTTGCGCTATGCTGCAGTGTTTTTTTTTCTTTCTGTTTGGCTTTTGGTTTTATGTTTCTATAGCAAAGTTTTAATTATGTTTTGTGTTTGTGTGCCTTGGCCCGAGTTTGTGTGGGATACATTGCACTGCGTGCGCTGAAAAAAAGTAGAGCGATCTTTTTTTGAGCGCGAATAAATGCAGTGCAATGCAATGCACCGGTTTTAACTGGTCTTATTGGTTTTTATGTATTTTTTTATTGTTGTGCATCTGGTGTGAATGGACCCTCACACAATCTTTCTACAAACTTTAACTCTTTCTATAACTAATGGAACTATGAACCCATAGCTAACTGTGGCAACAGGCAGATGGGGATGTCTGCGTTCAAGTGTTATAATGACGTTCTTCCTCTAGGGGGAAGTGCTGAGAGGGCTGGAGGCTTGGAGGTAACGAGCTCAGCTGAAGCTGGCTTGTTAGGGCCTCTACAAGAAGTCTCAGCCTCCTAAGAAAGAAGCTCCACCCTGGAACCAGTCTGTATGTCTGGCAGACTGGGGAACAGTTTGCCTGTGTGGCAATCCACCTGTGTGGCCAGAGGTTTTGGTTAAAGGAACCAAATGAAGTCGGTGAGACTTGAAAATGTTTGTTTGATGACAGAAAACTGTACTTTATGTTTGAAAACCCCTGCGAGGGAACACCTGTTTGGACTCTTCATTTGAGTTTTGAGTTAATAAAAGAGGGCAAAGAGGCCCTTGCAAAGAAGTAAGCGAGTGGAGGTTTTCTTAATGTGCTACCGTTTGGAGCTAATTCTCACATGATCAAAAACAAACTGATAGTCATGCTCAAACCTCAAACTGCGAAGGGGATTCTTTTCTGTTAGAGCAGTAAAAGCAATGGTATCATCAGAGTGTATTGAATCATTCAAGAATCGATTTAGATATAGAGAACATAACATAGAGGGGTACAGGTACTTTTAATGAAGACTAGTACAAACAGACACACAAACACACACACACAACCACACACGCACACATAGGTTGAACTCGGTGGACTTGTATCTTTGTTCAATCTCAAATACTATGTAACTATATAACAATCCTTAGTGAAGCTTACCAATGATATAATACATCTATCAATGCAGTGCCATAAAAACTTAGAACAAACATCCTCGAATGATCACATTATACATATATCCCAATAATTACAAATGAATCACCTAATTAGCTATAAAGAAATTTCAATCCACAGGTTAAAGTTAAGATGGCCATGCACTTAAAGATTCTTTCGTACAGTCTGTGGGCTGTACAAAAAAATGAAACAGAGTCCTCTATCCATGCTAAACAGTGGGATGGGTGAATCTCCCTGCCCAGAGCCACAACTGGAATTTCAGTTGAGTCAGCAGGACTTAATTTGAGTAGAGTTTTACATTCCCACCTCAAGCTGTCCCCTCCTGGGCTGGATTTCCAATATTCCTATGGGACAGATGAGGAGA